TCCCTTGCCTTCCGATTGCATTGCATTTCTGTAACTTGTAACGATGTAATGCAAATTTATTATCGAATTTATAGCCAAGAAATGGAACTTTTGATTCACCGCAGTATTTATTACCGGTACATGAAAATTTTCATGGTCATAATTCCTATATATTTTAATTTATTTCTTTGTCCAGTATAAACTAATTGATCACGAGAGAAACAGAGATTTCAGGGTATATGAGTCGCCATCCGGAAATCGTGTTAATTTCCCTTTAAGATATCTTTTACACCGATTAGTAAAGATAGTTTTTTTCGAAGTACGTTAAATTAACGAGCCCAGATTTGTGACATCTAACAATATTCAGGTGTACAGGCCTCATTATCATATGTTTTTTCAGCGTGTCACATACTACGGTCAAGACTGGATATAACGATACACCCGTTAGGCATTTTCATCGTTATAGCGATAACATGATAGTTACGAAAAAAAAATCGTTATACAAGATATTATCTATCTTGTTTGATATTCGGTTTTATTGAAAAAAAGATTCAGTGATACTACAACCTACATTCTGATAACAAAACCGTCTAGCATTGACTGTTTCTTATTATTGACGTGGTGCGTTAGCACTTGTTTTCGTAAGGAGCGTACTGTTGGTACAGTACTTGCATCGCAATTAAAACCTGCGGGTGGATGAACGAGAAAATCGAACACAGTTCTTTAAAACAGTCTCCTTTCCCTGAGAAGGTTTGGGCTTACTAGAGAGTTTAACACAACATCCTTTTTTTTTGTGCAAAGGTCAAACGTGTTCTCAAACGTTTTGTTGGATATTGGGTGTTTTCGCTGGTAGCTCGTTTATTGAGTAACATTTGTTTAGTATTAGACATTGAAAATCGGGGAAATGAATATTTATTATATGTAATACTAATACAGTCAACCCGCTCTATAGTCACGCTGTCGGGAACAATGCAACTTTTGTTGAAAATGTGCTTATAAAGAGGTTGTGATTATATAGAGGGTTTTTCCTATAAGTTCAATAGTAATTGGTTCTCAAACATGGGGTGCTTATAAAGAGGTTTTTATATGATGTGCTTATAGAGGGGGTGACTATAAAGAGGGTTGACTGTACTCGAAATTCGTACAGTTTTGATTGGTCATGGGTGGATGTCACACAAAAATATCGGTATAAAAATATATTGCTACAATAGTTGGTACATCGTATACGTATCGTTATACGTAATAATAATAACGAGGTTTTAACAATGACAAATTTCATCGTTAGATCCAGTTATCGTTATATACAGATATCGTTATATCCAGTCTTGACTGTATTAAATAAACTATTTTTTAATATGAGTTACAAATGCACTGATAAACTTTAAAAATTCATAACTCAAAAAGTTTCAAGTCTTTTCAATAAAATAAAAATGCATTGAAAGCCAGAAAGCAAGACTATATTCAGTTTAAATTTCATTTATTTTGGTTGGATATTTGTGGAGTTATAAGCCTATACATTCAATTCTTCTAAACATTGAGCCGGTTTTGTGAGTCACTGTATATGGAGAGTGTGCATATATGGAGAGTCGGCATTTTATTGGGTGCACGTGATATATATTTTATTTATTCATAATAACGATAATAATAATGAAAGACAAAATTAAAATACCTGTTACTATTTTTGACTAAAAAAATTGTCTATGGTTGTTTGTTTCTTTGCATTCATCAACTTTAAACCAATGTAGTAATCAAGAGCATTAACTTGTTTAAGTAACTCCTTAGAATCTTCTTGCTGTTGCAAAAGGAACGAACTAATTCTAATTCTAAACTCTTTATTTATTTCTTTCGCGAACGATTACGAGATTCTTTATGCAATTCATAACGCCGAATGCCGACCTTTAACAAAAGATGTTAAAATTTCTTTCATGAACGATTACAAATTCTTTATCCATCATTAATTCTCTATTTACCGAACCTATTAATATTAAACGAAGGAATGTTAAACAAGCAATTTTGACAATGATTCACGAATCTCTTTCAAAGTGTAACCAATAAGGCTAGCAAGTATTACAAATCACACTCTTTGTATGATCTTTACTTTTTTTAGACATCTTGTGTACCGGTAATTATCATTTGTTGTACAAAATAACATGGAAATCACGGGCGTGCATATAGAGAGGGTGGATTTCATATAGCGGGAAGTGAAAAAAACCGTGCAATGCAGAATATAGAGGGTGTACATATATTTACTAACTCCCGAGCTTGGGAATAAGACTTGGCGTGCATATATGGATGGTGTGCATATATACAAGGAAATTCTAATGTACAGGATAATCTTGGTTGATGTAGATAAAAATGTTCAAAAAGCAGTGGAACTGTATCAAGAAACAGTCAAGCAAAAAAATGTTACTGCATACACTAGCCTTGGTTTATGTTACAAAAATGGAATTGGGGTAGAAAGAAATATTCAAAAAGCTATTATATTGTTTCAAAAAGCAGCTGAAAAAACATGCACATGGACAATATAATCTTGGTTTATGCTATGAGGCAGAAATTAGAGTAAAACAAGATGAACAGAAAGCTATTGAATTATATGAAAAAGCTGAGCAAGGGTACATTAAGGAACAAAATAAGGTTTATTTTTTTAGATACAATGATAAGTCCAAGTTAAAAAGAAAGATTCAAGAGCTAGCTGGAACTTATCCAGCCAAAAAGAAACAAAAGTTTGTATTAGGCAATAGGTTGTGTTTAGAGTTGGCAAATTATAGCTATGGTCATCAAAGCCTCAAGTTATTTGCAAACTTGCTAATTATTAATAGAGTTACATACTATAACACAGTAATCAACATACACCCCATGCAAAAAGTATAAATACGATACAAGATTTTACTTGTAAAACATACGAAAAATCGAAATTTTCAAGTCGTTAATTTTCCATGTTATCTTAAAAGAGTACCAAATTATTGTAAAGCTAAATGATTGTAGTTTTAATTGAAATATCAGTAATTTTAAAATATTAACGATTGTCGTATATACCTCCCCCAAAAATATAATACGATTTATGTCGATTAATTAAGCAAGTAAAGTCTGCATCTCCTCCTCACTGCAATAAATAGTAATATTATAAAATTGCTGAAATCCCTCAATTAAAACTACAGTCATTTAGCTTTACAATGGCATAAATTTTATTGGTATTTGTTTAAGATAATATTGAGAATTAGCGACTTGAAAAATTCTGTGTTTACTAGTAAAATCTTGTATCGTATATCGTGTTTATATTTTTTGCTTAGGCAGAAATGTTTATTATTCATGAGTATGTTCTAATACTGTACATTGTTGGTAGAATGAGAATGATGTAAAGTATAAATAACGTAAACATAACCAGAAAAAAAAATCACATTAATATTAAATAAAAAGTTGCATTACATGTTGTTATGTTTGGTCACTTGAGAGAATGTTTGTGTTCAAACTGGGTAATATGCTCAAAATTTAGCCCTAACCTAGTCTTACTTACATGTCCGCAGCGGCTCTTTATATCTTCTATTGCCAAGATATAAATTCTCACTCAGGCTTCATTCTGGTACGATATAACATTCTTCTATATTCCTCTTATGGAAAGAATTGTTGTAGAAATATACGTGTATTTTATGAAAACTAACATCCGCAGTTAGTTACGAACAATTCATGTGAGATCGGCCGCAAATATTCCATGAAGCTTAAACTATGATGAAAATAATGAATGGCATTCTGTTTGCAAAGGTATCACTGCATTCAATTGACCCATTATTCAATAAAACGGAATTTATGCTATGCTTATCTAGTCACATGGAAACAAGTAACGCACATGTGATTGAAGAATCTTTCTGTGTGAATGTATTGCGCAACCAGAAAAATATGCCGATTTTTGTATGCGTGCCATTGTTTACTAGGCCACAGATCGAATTTTTTCTAACCAAAAAATTACAATAATGTAGATGATGGTAATCTGAAACGAAACGCTACAAACAATAGTCAATTAAATCATTTATATTTATAATAATAACAGGTCATATAATAAAATGGTTACAATTCAGGATATACATGACACTAAATGCAGTGAATATTGATGGTCTACACTAGTGAAACCCACCGGTGAACGAATTTGGGTTCGTTTAATGTTACCAGTAAATTGATACGATTTCCAAATGGTATCTACAGAATTACATTGGTCATACAATACCAAATTTGGTTTATAAATGTAGTTAGTAGATTAAACGTGCGCTATGTAGTTCGATCATACAAATAAATCTATTGATATTATTATTATCATCGTCCCATCCGGAAAGGATGAGCTAAGCATTACAGACTTTATGTCAAGAACTTAATTTTTTATATTGTGCTTCTTTCTCCCGAACATACTGTAAATCTAATTCTCAGATCCGGGCTTTACCCATTCACCGGAAATTGCGTTTTCTTGCCGTTATATGGTTTGTAATGCTAAGACGTGGTTGAAGAGCGGAAGAAAAAAATTAAGGACCGGAATATATACGTCGGTCAAATAACAGAATTAATCGCGTGTATTATATAATTATTGTGTAAAGAAAAGACTTATTTATTATGCCCCACCCACTTGCTCTACTCGAAGACATCTTCCCAAGACGAAGCAGGTTATCCTTTCCTAACCCTTAATCGCTTTTGGTATGCGTGTTTGGCACCCCCAACTTAACAAAAATTATGCCAAGCCCCAGAATTTAGATTTGCATTCATGAATATACTAATACAGTTTCTGATTCTCGATCAATGTAAGGAATTCTCTACTACGATCCTTAACCAATAGAAGGAAATGACATTCTTGTGTCCCAACAACGCCAAGTTTGTCAACCATGCTTTTAGACGTGCATATGGCCATTGTCAATTTGTGTACCTCACTCATACCATGCATTCGTTATTTTATTAATTTCAAAATTGTAAATTTATATTATATAATTACACGTTTTATGTCATACAATCTTATCATTCATTAGTCTTCTTTACACATTCCTTTACCAGTCAATCCTCCACCTTTCTAATAAGCCTTTCGGACGCTTTACCGTTTTGCGTACGTCTCCACTCCTCCCATTGACACCATCAACCCACTTCCACAATTCTTTTTTATCGTCCGTTAGCTCTTCTCGATCTTTATCCTCGAGTGTGATCACCACCTTTCTTAACTTTTCCAAACGTCCCTCTATCAACGGACGCACCATGTCTGTTGTTATGCCAGAGCAGTCGATTAATTCTATGCTCTCTAGATTCTCGCATGCACTTATAGCCTGCCACGAGCAACATTGATCGAAATTGACACTGTGGAAATGAAGGTGGCGTAAAGATGTTTTTCGGGTGCCGACGGCCGAAATTACGGCAGTGAGGGCATGGCGAATGGATTGACCTGTCCATTTAATGTCTCTAAGTTCGAAAGATTGGAGATTCGTTTGGGATAGTATGAGGTTTGATATTACGTTTTCTTCAGGATATGTGGTAGACGTGGTTATCGAATATGAAAATTGAGTAAGCGTTTTGGGTCTCAGCAGTGGGCCTCCTCCCACGCGTATAGATTCCTGTAATATATAAAAAAATTTGATTTTTGAGTGTGCCCGTTCGGTATACAATGAAATTCACGCCTTCTCTTTTAAAAAATTCATAACATGACATTACCAGCATTCTACAATGTTCAGCCAAGTATTCCAACAGATGCTTTTGTCGTTCGTATCCTATATCTCCTCCTATGTCGATTGTTCTGAGTCTTTTCATCATTTGGGTTATGCCATCGGCCTTGAGCATCTCATTATCTTGTGGTTTCCAAAAATTGTTTCTACAGACAATGAACCTAAACCCATTCACTTTTGGTGTGTTGTTTGAAATGAGCTGTAATATTGCATTGAGCATATTATGAAAGCATTTCCTTGACATTGTTTTACATAACGCTTCCATGGTTCGAAATAATTTGTCGTAATCCAAAAATCTTAAGAAGGAGGGGTAGTTAAATAATGGAAGGGGAGCGTCTACAAAGGGTATCTCAGGTTCCTGGAATTGTAACTGTTGTTTCTGGTGGTTGTCTAGACACGAGTAGTATACTTGCAACACTTTTGCGCGCGAGTATGGATTATTTATTAGCGGTTGACGCCAGAGCAGAGGAACAGTACTCCGGCACCACAGTCGATTGACTAGCAGACATGAATATAGATATTTGTATACGCGTGGGGAGTAGTGGTAGTCGTGACAGTTCGGATCTAGTATGATTAGGTAGGAGAGGATTTCTTGGATTATTTCGGGTGCCAAATCGCCCTCATTTACAAATGGATGGTCACTGTCGACAAGTGACTCTTGAGTGGTTTCGGCAGTCTCTTGGATTACTGGTTGATCATGTCTATCATACAGGTCGTATAATGAAGATACAGAGATTGAAGTTATCGAAGTAGCTATTGTAGAAACTGAGGTGGTCGAGTCTTGACGCCGCAATACTATTTCAGAGTCGATATCAGATGCAGAGCCATCCTGTATTTTCTGCGTCACTTTCTCAAAGTTTTGCTTCACTTGTTTTTCCATTTCCTCCTGGGAGAGCGTAAACTGAATTCCATGGTCAACATGCAAGCAATTGATGTGTCAATGAGAATGCTAAAAGTCGCACAAATTGATTGATGATCGGTATACAGCCAAGTTAACAAGCCCAGGACCGCTCTCCATATGTTGGATTCTTTCCTTGCTAATTGTCTAGTCTCCTCTCCGGGTGACGGTTGCCCATACGAGTCAACTTTCTAATTTTTGAAAATCTTTTTGCATGCCCTGAATTACGATATTTTGTTTTCTATTATCTTCCATAACTGATCATTCTGTGACCGTAGGAACTTACGTTCAGTGACGGCTTGATGCTTCACCGCTAGTAACATCGATAGGCTCGTCGCGAACTATCCGTATGCGACGTTATAGACGGTTTGTTGAGTGTAAGGCATTTACATATACACAGATACACAGTGAACCTGGATATAATGTGATAGCTGGCAGCAAAGAATTTGAATGTTGATAATTCTGTTATAATCACTCTTTCTAATTTAAGAAAAAAAAACTCTCAAACAAGTGTAGAATTAGCACGACAAACTACTCTTGAGGATTCAATGTGTAGTACTAGTCAGTTTACAATTATATCGAGTAATACAGATGGCACGTGATTGACCTGTTTATAATGCAGTAATGAAGCTACATAAGACTTCCTTATAAAAACGGTAGTATTTACATTCTGGTCAGTCGTAGATATGAGGGCAATGATGGCGAATACAAACATTAAATTGTGGAGGAAGCACCTACTAGATTAGATAATTTGTAGGAATATGCTTTATGACCAAAAAACCAACTTCCGCAGTTAGTTACGAACAATTCGTGTGGGAGCGTTTGCCGGTCGTCTGCTTTGGTTTCCATCCGCAAACATTCCATCAAGCTTAGACTATGATGAAAATAATGAATGGCATTCTGTTTGCAAAGGTGTCACTGCATTCAATTGACCCATTATTCAATAAAACGGCATTTATGCTATGCTTATCTAGTCACATGGAACCAGAAAAATATGCTGATTTTTGTATGCGTGCCATTGTTTACTAGACCACAGGTCGAATTTTTTCTAACCAAAAAATTACAATAATGTACATGATGGTAATCTGAAACGAAACGCTACATACAATAGTCAATTAAATTATTTATAATAAAATGGTTACAATTCAGGATATACATGACACTAAATGCAGTGAGTTTTCGAGTCTTCATTTAGGCGCACCTAAATGCAGTGGATACACTAAGGAACTCACCGGTGAACGAATTTGGGTTCGTTTAATGTTACCAGTAAATTGATACGATTTCCAAATGGTAGTTCATTTAGGCAATCTGCAGAATTACATTGGTGTTAACTATGAAAATCATATACCTGCCTGAACATTGTTATGAAACTTGGTTTACAAATGCAGTTAGTAGATTAAACGTGCGCCAGATATGTAGTTCGATCGTATTGATATTATTATTATCATCGTCCCATCCGGAAAGGATGAGCTAAGCATTACAGACTTTATGGTGTATTCGTCAAGAACTTAATTTTTATACCCGTTCACCAGAAATTGCGTTTTCTTGCCGTTATATGGTTTGTAATGCTAAGACGTGGTTGAAGAGCGGAAGAAAACAATCAAGGACCGGAATATACACATACGTACAACAACGGAATTAATCGCGTGTATATATTATTGTGGTAAGAAAAGACTTATTATGCCCCATCCACTTGTTCTACCAGAATTACTTGAAAACATATTCCCAAGATGAAGCAGGTTATCCTTCCCTAACCCTTTTGGTATGCATGTTCGGCACCCCCAAATTATAACGCAAAGTCGCAATTACAAAAATTATGCCAAGCCCCCAGAATTTAGATTTTGTGTTCATGTCTGATTCTCGATCAATGTAAGGAATTCTCCTACGATCCTTAACCAATAGAAGGAAATGACATTCTTGTGTCCCAACAACGCTTGACACAAGGTAATCCCGAGTTTGTCAACCACGCTTTTAGACGTGCATATGGCCATTGTCAATTTGTACCTCATACCCTGCATTCGTTATTTTTTAACATTTTTATTAATTTCAAAATTGTAAATTTATATTATATAATTACACGTTTTATATCATACAATCTTATCATATATCATACATTCTTTAGTCTTCGTTACACATTCCTTGACTTTGCATTCATATACATATTAAAGCCCTATTCAGTAAGCACTTACATTACATCACTGATTCCCCTTCTCTTTTTCTCCCCCTATACGGTCAAGCCTCCATCTTAATAAGCCTTTCGAACGCTTTACCGTTTTGCGTACGTCTCCACTTCTCCCATTGACACCATCAACCCACTTCCACAATTCTTTTTTATCGTCCGTTAGCTCTTCTCGATCTTTATCCTCGGGTGTGATCACCACCTTTTTTAATTTTTCCAAACGTCCCTCTATCAACGGACGCACCATGTCTGTTGTTATGCCAGAGCAGTCGATTAATTCTATGCTCTCTAGATTCTCGCATGCACTTATAGCCTGCCACGAGCAACATTGATCGAAATTGACACTGTGGAAATGAAGGTGGCGTAAAGATGTTTTTCGGGTGCCGACGGCCGAAATTACGGCAGTGAGGGCATGGCGAATGGATTGACCTGTCCATTTAATGTCTCTAAGTTCGAAAGATTGGAGATTCGTTTGGGATAGTATGAGGTTTGATATTACGTTTTCTTCAGGATATGTGGTAGACGTGGTTATCGAATATGAAAATTGAGTAAGCGTTTTGGGTCTCAGCAGTGGGCCTCCTCCCACGCGTATAGATTCCTGTAATATATAAAAAAATTTGATTTTTGAGTGTGCCCGTTCGGTATACAATGAAATTCACGCCTTCTCTTTTAAAAAATTCATAACATGACATTACCAGCATTCTACAATGTTCAGCCAAGTATTCCAACAGATGCTTTTGTCGTTCGTATCCTATATCTCCTCCTATGTCGATTGTTCTGAGTCTTTTCATCATTTGGGTTATGCCATCGGCCTTGAGCATCTCATTATCTTGTGGTTTCCAAAAATTGTTTCTACAGACAATGAACCTAAACCCATTCACTTTTGGTGTGTTGTTTGAAATGAGCTGTAATATTGCATTGAGCATATTATGAAAGCATTTCCTTGACATTGTTTTACATAACGCTTCCATGGTTCGAAATAATTTGTCGTAATCCAAAAATCTTAAGAAGGAGGGGTAGTTAAATAATGGAAGGGGAGCGTCTACAAAGGGTATCTCAGGTTCCTGGAATTGTAACTGTTGTTTCTGGTGGTTGTCTAGACACGAGTAGTATACTTGCAACACTTTTGCGCGCGAGTATGGATTATTTATTAGCGGTTGACGCCAGAGCAGAGGAACAGTACTCCGGCACCACAGTCGATTGACTAGCAGACATGAATATAGATCTTTGTATACGCGTGGGGAGTAGTGGTAGTCGTGACAGTTCGGATCTAGTATGATTAGGTAGGAGAGAATTTCTTGGATTATTTCGGGTGCCAGTGGAGGAGCTTGGCATCTGAAATTGCAAAGAAAAGCGAATGATGAGTGTCAGGCAAACGAAGGATCAATTGACAAAGCAATCGACAATCAACCGACAAAGCAATCGCGACCAATCAATTGATAAAACATTAAAGCCTACTTTGCTTGTCTTCGTAATAACAGGTCAAGCGTGCGGCCCATTCCGTTCAAAGTGCGATTCGTGCTGATGTTATGTTTTGTTCGTATTCCTTTGAGCGTAACTATGATATCGGGTTTGCAGGTATTTCTTAATTGCTTTTTCAAAAAAATTTGACAGCTTTAAGCAGGTTCCAAACAACGTTTTTTGGTTTTTTTTTCTGATCAGATATTACTCTAATTTATATACAATTCCCAGGAATGTGCAGATCTCTTATTCTCATACAAGTTTTTTGACGTATTTGGAATATCACAAGGCGATAAATAAATTCCCGTAATACAAACAATGCTTAGGTTGATCCTTTTGAACAAAAACGAGGAAGGGGAAATCCGGAATGAAGAAGTTTAAAATGGAACGAGTTTAACAATGAAGAAATCGATGACACACAATGTTCGAAGACAATGAATGAATTACAAAGGTTGGGATTTACAATTATGATGAAACTGTAGGGCAAGTGACTAGTTGAATAGGGGAAATAATCCGAACCGATGATTACATACGCAATTATATTGCTACTATCTTAAATCGTATATTTGAAAAGCAGGATATTCCAAAATGCGTCCATTCTCAAACCGTGTAAATTTATGTGAATTGGAATCCGCTGGCGACCGAATAAAGCTCTCCTTTTTTTTCTTCTCGGCATCTGCAGTCTCCTGTGATGCAAATACATCATGCATACATTCTCACATGTGGTTATTGTGCAAGTGCGTATAGAGCCAATTGAGATTAAGGCTAGTTTAAAGAATCACACGAACATATATATCAATAGGCTAAACCCTGTTATTGTGTCTTGTATTACGCTGTTGTATAAAGAATAAAAAGTTAAGTTATTTATAGCACTGTTTAATTCCTCCTCCTCTAATTTCCTATTAGTCTGTATTCATGCATTCATCCCGTTACCTAGCATCCATTTCGATTGAGCAGATTAACAACCATCAAAACCCCTTTTCCCTGATACTCGACGGTTATCAAATTCGTGATCTCACCCCCTTTTTTCCGTCTAGTAACGATAGTAACGGCAATAATAATAATAATAATAATCAACCACCAAATTTCTTTTACCGGAAATTCCATTTTTTAGCAGAAAGCAAAAAAGGGGGCAATGATGATGTTGTGTTCCCATCATGTGTTGTTATGTGGGCGTGACCACGTTATGACGAAGGAAAGAGGAGAGGGAGTTGACGAAAAATTTAGCGAGTTTCCCCTAACACGTCATTAGACAGGGAGAGAACGTAAGGGAGAGACGAACTAAACTTTGAGTGTCTGCTGCATATGAATCCGAACAGCGATCGATCTAATTGACGCTGTC